TCGGCGTAGTTTGAGAAATCATAGGTTTCAAAATTCAACTTTGCAGCCGCGGTGCTAGCACATTAACATTGCAATATAAGCTGTGCAAATAAATTTCCGTTTAGCGATATATAGATTTAAATTCTACATATACATACATATGTACGTTAACTTCAGCACGACGAGTAAAGGTATGACTTCTACTGTTCTATTTGAGAACTAAAAAAATAAAAACCATCAAGAAAATTCATTGCCGTCCAGTAGTGAAAGCTTTAAATAGTACATTCCATTTAATATTAAGTTGAATATTGTATTTTTATTCATTTGAAATAATGTAAGTTAACCGCAAGAAATAAATGTATGCACACAAGTATGTACGTTCAAATTGTACCCTCTGTGTACAATTAAAAGACAATCGCTTTATTTCTTTTTTGGGCCACCCATGTTGCCAGTTTGCATGCGTCCCAACTCTGCTTTCAGATCGAGCAAATCACGATCAGGCACATAGCGACGCTCCTCCAATTCTTCGGAGTGTTCTTGGACACTTAGCTGCACACCTGCTGGTAGCGCTGCTTGTGCTATGCGCAAGAATACAGGATATATAGGTGCATTTACATCGTTAATTTGCAGATTACGTTCGTAAACAGTCAATCTGTATTCAGCATCTACTATAGCCGAGTTTGGTCGCAGCCTTTGCACTTTGGTTGTTTGTGGTGGCAAAGCGTAGCTGAAAGTAAGTGAACATTTTGGTAATTTATAAGTTTATATATAAAAGATAGATATGTGCATACACACCAATCGGATACATCGATATCCAGGTATTCCGCAATGCTATGCAAGTAGCGCTGGTAGCTTTCAAGAATTGGATAATCATAACCTTTAATTTGTACGTCAAGACAGGAATATTGTGGGAATTTGGGTTTTAGTGACTGCAAAGACAAAACGAGTTTTAAATGTATAGATTTTCGGTTAGGAATCGTGCTGTTAGATAATTGCAATCACCTCCAAATAATCCGGCTCATAGACACTACGTCCATCGCTGTAGTGGCGGGTTGTGGCTGTAGCTATATTCAATGTGGCAGGTGCAGTACTGGATAGCAGACGCAGCACAAGCGGACTTAGCTATGAAGTAAATATGTTAAATTCCTATATTGCATAAATAAAATTAAAATTTACCTTCCTTAACATTTTTGTCGTGTTTTGCTAGCAATTTTCTCGAAGTTAGGGGTTATGTCATAAAAAATATTTCCCTTTTTACTTTTTTTGCACCGAAAACAGCTGTTGGTTTATTTACATTCAATAAAAGGGGAAATTATATAAAAAGGGGTTTTTTGATTGGTCTTTTGTTATTACAGAAATATTTGAAAAAATAATTTAAGTCATGAAAAACCCATCAAGCTGTATTATACTAAGGTATTTCTGAGCTTTTAGGTCAAATTTTCATATATTTACAGAAATAAAGTTCATAAAATTGTGGTTACTTTTAAGCCACGAGGCTTAATTTTTCTCGGTGTATCTTTTTTGTTTTGCTCACTATCCAACAATTTTACATGCACTTACACCCGATTTACACGATTCAAGTACTTGAAAGCAATTCTTGCTCATTCTCTTTTGTGTTTTCTATTTGCTTTTACACGTTTCAATTCTGTTGAATTCAAGTTTTTGGTTCTTTAAATGGGAAGCAACGAAAATGCCAAAAGCAAAGCAAGAAAGTTGAAACGACTTGACGGTACAGACGCATGCGTACTCGTCCCTTTTCTTCTCAACCCCTCTCTCCACATGCGAGCAGAATTGAATTCAATACTTGAACTGTGTAAAAGCAGTCTTACATACAAACTTCTGAAAATTGACAAATGTACGATCGAGAACTGTCAGAATCTTGAGTTTCTTTCGTTTTGTGTTCATCTTATTTGCTGAGTCTGCTTGTTGACGTCGATTTTCCGAGAAAATTTGCTGATTACCAGAACAAATTGCAATTAAAAAAAGAAAATATTCAGTTATTGTTACTTTCTATACAGTGTGTTTGGAAAACTTGCAGCTCTAGCGCTGGTGAAAATAAATAACGCAATGTTGGGGAGAAAATTGCTGTTGGTGTTGAAGGCGGTGCTGTTGGTATCAGTGCTTGCACCAGCGACGCAGGCAAAATCTGATCCTGGTAAAACTACTAAAACCCTAACGCCGGTAGGTGTATAAAGATATCCAAACAAATTCAGGATCATACATTAGTTATCGTTATATACTTCAACATGAGAATATTTGTATATTTCCTTCTACCTACAGAACGCTAATGTGGCAAGAGAACAACGGCCGCTGTTAGCTAGTTCCAAAATTAAAGTGCATAGTAAGTGGCAAATTTTAAGAAAAAATCTTGAATCTTTTTATAAATAACCTTTTCTTTATAGTCGAGTGCGACACTCATGAGCAGCTGGATGTTGTTGTTACTTGGACGCTCTTTGAGCGCCAATGCTGGTATGACAAGCGCTTGGTGAGTATGTGGTACCCAAAAGAATTGGACATACATACATATATATATGTATATATATAAATATATATATATCTACTTTAGGATATTGATATAACCAAAAATCCTCTAATGTACATATATATATGTATATATATATAAATATAGATATATCTACTTTAGGATATTGATATAACCAAAAATCCTCTATTGATATTTACAGCCCGAAAGTCTATACGATGCTTATGAACAGCAATTACTTTTGCAAAACAAATCTGATTCCGGTTTCATTGCCATGGATACGAAAAACTCCATTTGTCCAATGCACCCAATTTTGCTACCCGAAAGGCCATGGCCTGTAAGCGATGCAAATGTTGCAGCAGCGTCAGGAGTAGCGGAAGACGCTGCAAAGTCATCAGGCACGGCAGCAGCACAGACGTCGGGCAAGACGCAGACGAATACACTCAAACACCCAACAGCGGTAAATTTGAATATGTAGAGTTAATTTAGTTTCAATTTATTTTAATATGTTTTTATCAACAATGTATGTAGAAAACATAAAACTTTTGTAGCTGATAAGATCTAGTTTTGAGCGAGTGATATCTAAAAATTGGCTTGTGTTATATGTATATAGTTCATTGTATTCGACTCTTAATGAAAGGGGTAAATACGTAAAAATTAATGTATGTACTTATACACATATTAGGTGCGGAATTTGTGATTCATATCATAAACTTCGCGATAAAAATTCGGTAAGAGGAAGTGGTAGGGAGAATGCTGATAAGAAATGCCTTTTGTTTAAATTTAATGAAGTGTTAAAATTATTGTTAGACTGACAAATGCAAAATTACTTAGTATGTTGGCTCGTAATCGTATGCACATACTATATGTGCGTTTGAATGTCATGTGGCCCATAGTGAACTTTCTTAATTTTTCTAACTTCTTCTTTTTCATGTATGTATTTAAACGAATTTACTCCCTTAATTGTTTGTTAATAACCATAGCCTCTTTCTGCTTAACAAGCTTAAATGCGCGATGCCAAATTGCATCAAAACTTGAAAAATCGTAATAGAAATGTTTGAATGTTAATAAAATTGAGCTTCTTCCTGCACTCCTTAAAATTGGAGGAAATCTTTGTGTTTGCGGAATTGTCTACATTTACATGTATATGTGAAAGAACCGAAGACAATTCGGAAAAAATGCACTCAAGGCCCGATTTTACTTTTATGCCAACCTCAAACTCTTCTCCTAAAAAGTGTTTAATATTTATAAAAAAAAACAACAGAAGACAATTTTGAAGAAATGCACTCAAAAACATATTTTAGTTTTATGCCAATCTCAAACTTTTCCTTATTTGGTACAGCCAAAATATTTAATATTTATTAAAAGTATTCTTTCTCCTTCTAGCCATATGCAAAAACCATCATCACCATTGGCCGAGATGGCATCTACGATTTGACATTGAAAATTGAAGCAATCAAAGCAACTGACTCCTCAGATTATAGCGCGCTTGTGCAAGTTGATATTGTTGGTCCCGATGGCGGTTACCTCTCAGCCATTGATCATCCATTGTTGGCGGTAAGCGTCGTCATTTATTACAAATCGCATAAGAGTTTATCTACTTTCTCTCCCTTTCCACATCACCAGTTCTATGGTATCATGTGCGTGGTCTATGTTATTTTCGGCATTATCTGGCTCTTTGTATCGTTTACGCAATGGCGTGATCTCTTGCGTATACAATTTTGGATTGGTGGCGTCATACTGCTCGGCATGTTAGAGAAGGCGTTCTTCTATGCGCAATACTATAGCTTAAATACCACAGGTGTACCTGTGCAGGGCGCCGAATTGGTAGCAGAATTTGTTTCTTGTGCCAAACGTACTTTGGCTCGTATGCTTGTGATTATCATGAGTCTGGGTTTCGGTATTGTCAAGTAAGTATTTGCACATATGCTTCAGTTGTTATGTAGTTAAAAAAACAATCAACAAGCAGTTGTGTAAATAAAATGCAGGCACCATTTGTTTAAATATACATATACATACCTACTATGTACATAAGTACAGTGCCTTGAGAGGGCAATGACCAGACTAAGAAAAAAAAACAACATATGTATAAACTTTTTGTAAACTCTTAATATTCCTCTATATTGTTATTTTCTTAGACCACGCTTGGGTCCAATGCTACATCGCGTTGTCGGTGTTGGCGCGCTTTATTTTGTGCTGGCCTGTGTTGAAAGCTATTTGCGCGTGACGAGCACAAAAACTGATGAGCAGCTGGTGGCTGCCATACCGTTGGCTGTGCTGGACACAGGCATCTGCTGGTGGATATTCACTTCGCTGGTACAGACTACCAGAACGTTGCGCTTGAGAAGGTGGGCTAATGTTTCCTAATAAAAATTTACAATATTCAACATGCAAATGAATTTGTAAAATTTTTCTCTTTGATTTTTTTTAAATTAAATTTTACAGAAATATGGTTAAACTCTCGCTGTATAGACACTTCACAAACACACTGATATTCGCTGTGATTGCATCAGTGATGTTTATGTTGTATGCCTTGCATATCCGCAAGACACAAAACTGTACACCGGTGAGTGCATTTGAAATTAGAAGAAAGCGCTTAGAAAATTTATGCATTTCTGGAATTCGTTTTACAGATATGGCGCAATATTTGGATAGATACTGCCTTCTGGCATGTGCTCTTCTCGGTGTTATTGCTGGTGATTATGATTTTGTGGCGTCCAACAAATAATAATCAACGTTATGCATTTACACCGTTACTTGATGCGCCAGAAGATGAGGATGACGATGGTAAGTGAATAGTGTTATACATTTTAGATTAATTGAAGTGGAGTTGTTCTCATAAGAATAGTCGAAATAAATATGCTTTTAGCTATCAACTGAACATAAAATATTGAAAGAGATCAACTAGTGAAGTTAGTCGCACAAAAAAGCAAAAATAATGAGATTATCTCACCATACCCATACGGATGTCAACCTTTTAACATGAAAAAGCTCGAATCTTTGAGAACACTATTCAGGTCTTTAGCACTTTAGCTTATGTTCGCCATTTAGAGATTCAAAGTAGCAGTCTAAACAACTTTTGTTCGTTTTAGGTTAGGACTAATGCTTCTAGAAATTAATATAAACCCTCCAAAACGTTTAAGTTTAAGGTTTTCTTAAATATAAAAATGTTTCCAAAAAATTTATTTAAATGAACGAAAAAGGGATTAGAAAAATTAAAAAAAAATTTACATTCCCAATGCGGGTGATTCCAAGTTACCGGATTGATTTGGAACACCATAAAGGGACAAAGTTCCCACGACTGTCGGGTCCACGTAACCAGAACGACATAGACTCATATCTGGCCAATGACTGTTACTCTAGGACCATTCCCCAAAAGCTCTCTGTGGAATTTGTATGCTGTTACAACAACGACAAATGACCATCACCTCCCTAGGGCTGTTGTTTTGGCGACGATTGGAAACTCATCAATCGTTCTTCGTCCATGGAGCAATGCCTTGCAGCCGGACTTCTCCGCGTCCTTCTGCCCCGGGCGGACGTTGAGCCCAACCCCGGTACAAAAATCTACTTCTACTGCGTCTGCCAGACACGATTTAATCCGAAATCCCCTTCGGTTAAGTGCAACGCCTGTAACGGATGGCGTCATCTAAGAACCTGCTCGACCCTTAGGTCTCACATGGAGTAGACCACAAACTTTGTGGTTCTCTTTGCGGGTGCGAACCAGCGACGAAAGAGCCTGCCCACACCCGATCGCTACATACACACACATTGTTGTGTTGGAAAACAAGTTACCTGATTGATCAAGGATATCTGACGACAG